ACTACGGATGCTTTGAACTGTGTTTTGGTGAAGAGCATAGAATATACCCTGCCAAAAGAATATGCAAATCCATTTTGGATAAAGTGCTGCCAGAATGTTCTATAGAAGTAAGAATGTTGAAACTTCTTCTCACATACTTTGAAAATGTTCTCAAGAGGGATCAGTCCCTGGAGTAGGACATCATGCTTAGTAAAGTAGAGGTTTTGGGAAAAATATGTAGCCCTTAAAGGGATGGATTAATAGCAGTTGTACAAATAGCTTAAATACAGCAGAGATTGTGAGGATGGCACAGAATGGGGTAAAATTTCTTTCTATTATATATTTTCATTTGTATTACATGAAATTGAGTGGGATCCAACTCATAGGTGACCCTCCAGCAGGTTTGAAAAGAGTTAAAATTGCATGGGGGGGGGAGGGGGAGCAGGGGGGGGGAGATTACCTATCTCTCTCCCATGGAGCAGCTGGTGGATTCAAACCATGTGCCTTTGGTTTGATAGCACAACTCCTTATCATTAGGCCATAATGTGGAGTTAGTGCTTCCTCAATAGCACCCAAGAATAACAAATCATTGGAGGTCCTGCCTCTCTTTTGACTACTAGTGCTATCTTTATCACTTCCCAAATAGTCTATTTCCCCATCTGTCTTGTCTTTGTGCTTAAGAATTCATCCAACCTTGTTGTTGTTATGTGCTGTCAAATTGCCTGTAACTCATAGCAACCCTATGTACAATAGGTCCGAAGCCTGCCCTGTCCTGAGCCAGTCTCACTGACTCCAACACACCTATCCCCATTGCCCTAGTTACTGTATCAATCCATTTTATCCAGGATCTTCCTCTCCTGCACTGTGCCTCCACCCTTCCAAGTATGATATCCTTCTCCAAGATTGGTCCCTCTTGTCTACATGCCCTCACTATGTGAGATAAAGCTTCAAAGTCCTAGCCTCCAAGGAGAGACTTGATTTCACTCTCTCCAAGACAGACCTATTTGTTTTCTTGGTAGTCTGTGGTATGTTCAAGACTCTTCTCTAGCACCACCACTCAAAGGCATTAATTCTTCTCCAGTCATCCTTAGTCATTATCCAGCTCTCTGATGCATAGCAAGTAATTGCAAAGACGACTGCCTGGATTAGGTGCAGCTTAGTCTCTAGACTGACATCTCTGGTTTTCTGTACTCTGGTGAGGTCCCTGACAGTATATTTACCTAATGTAATTTGTATTTTGATTTCCTGATTGCTGGTGCCAGAATGTTGATTGTGTAGCCAAGTAAGCTGCAACCATTAGCAACCTCAATCTTCTTCATCCATCATGTTGCTGCCAATTGGGCCAGTGGTGAGAATCTTTCTACTTGATTTTGAACTTCAATTAATGTTGAGACTACAGTCCTTGACCTTCTGCAGCAAGTCCTCCTCAGTTTCAGCAAAAAAGGCTGTGTCATCTGCAAAATGTAGGTTGTTGATGAGTTTCCCCCCCAATCCTGATGTCACATTCCTCTTCATAAAGCCCAGCCTTCCAAAAAAATTTGTTCTATAATTTGACTGAAAAGGTATGGAGACAGGATACATCCCTGACACACTCCCTTCCTGATTTTGAACAATAAAGTGTTTCCATGCTTTGTTCTAAGGACTGCCTCCTGGTCCAAATATAGGTTTCACATAATCAAGTGTTTCACTTAAGTCAAGTGTTCTGGAATTCCCATTCTCTTCAAGTTTAACCACAATTTAAGCACAGATAGGTATTCCTCTGGTACTCTTTGCTTTGTTCCAAGATCAATCTGACTTTGGTGATAATGTCTCTAGTGCCACGACCTCTTCTAAACCCAGCTTGTATTTCTGGTAATTCTCTGTCAATGTACTCTTCTAGTCATTTCTGGATAATCTTCAGCAGGGTTTTGCCTGTGTGAGATATGAGTGATACAGTTCGATAATTTCCACACTCTGTTGGGTCATCTTTTTAATAGAATAGGAATAAATTTGGATCTCTTCCAGTCAGCTGGCCAGATAATTGTCCTCCAGAATTCTTGGTGCAACCTGGCGAACATGTCCAGGGCAGCATCTGTTTGTTGAAATATTGTAATTAGCTTTCCATCAATTCCTGGGGCTTTAGTCTTTGCCAAGTCCTTCAGAGCAGCTTGAGCTTCCTCCATCACCATTGCTTCTTGATCATGTGTTGTTTCTTAAAGTTCTCCCATGTCAGCCAATTCTTTTTGATACAGTGATTCTGTATACTTTTTCCATTTTCTTTTAATGCTTCCTGTAACATTCGATACTCTGCCCATATTCAGGGAAAGGGAAGGGACAAGACACTCTTGCAGGGGAAAGGCTCTGCATGTATTGTTATCTCTGTAGGGGGAAGTGTCTTTCATTTGCTCCTTGCACCAAAATGCTTCTCTGTCAGATGTTGTTCCAAAGATAAGCTTCCAAATTAAGACAGACTAGGAAGAAGGATTGACCATCCACTTCCAAAATATAATGTTGTTGTTGCTGTTGTTAAGTGCCATCAAGTCATAGATGACTCATAGTGACCCTTTGAATGAAAGACCTGAACACTTGTCTAACTTTCATCATTTCTCCAAGTCCATAGGGTTTCTGGAAGCAAGCTATTTTGGAAGTGGATGCCACTCCTGCTTCCAACCTTGTTTTAATCAGGGAGCTCCACCAAACACTGTCTACCATCAGTAACCATTATTGCATTTGACATATCAGTGTCACAGTGTTCAGCATCACAGCAACCATGAGTTACCTCTGTACAGCAAATGGATAGACCAGTGCTATGCCACTTAGAAGCATGTTTGGCAAAAACAACAACAACAATTAAAACCAGGCCTGAGGGCCAGAGATTAAAATCACCCACCTTTGACTTGGCAGCATCACTTTCTGTCCACTAGGCCAACTGAGCTCTCTCTATGTTGTTGATGCTAAATAGGCTTTTGAAAACCCTATGTACAATAGAGCACACATATAGTAGAATGCCAGATATGGGAACTGAGACTGAACCCTCAAATTTGGAAACACAAAGGTGGAGGAATTGTTGTAAGCAGGAACTAATGATTGGAACGTGGAGTGTGAAAAGCACAAATATAGGGAAATGACATCATTAAGAAAGAAATGGAATGCATAAATATTGACATATTATTAGATATTGGCAAAATGAAGTGGATGGGCATGGAACATTTTGAAGCAGATGATCATGTGATCTACCACACTAGAGATAAAAATGTGAGGAAAAAAATGAGGCCACTTTTAAAGTTAAAAAGGCTGTTTCTAGATCTATTTTGAAACACAACATTGTGAGTGACAGGATAATATCATACCCATTCAAGGAAGACCTATTAATACCACTATTATTCAAATTTATGCACCAACAACCAGAGCCAAAAGATGGAAATAGATGATTTATACCAAATTTTGCAGTCAGAAATAGATAAAAAATGCGATCAAGAGGCATTAATAATAATGGGTTACTGGAATGTGAAAGTTGGGAACCAGGATGAAGGATCAGTAGTCAGAAAACATGAACTTGGTGACAGAAATGAGACTGGGGATAGAAAGATAGAAGTCCGAATAATCAATGACTTATAAGAAACATAAATGCAGGCTATACATGTGAATTTCATCTGATGGTATACACAGGAATCAGATTGATTACATCTCTGGAAGGAATCATTGGTGAAGTTTAATATCAGCAGTGAAAACTAGGCCAGGTGTCGAATGCAGAACAGATCATCAACTGCTCATCCAAATTTTGTGCCAAAATAACCTTACTAAAACATATTCCTTTTCATGTTGCTCCTCTGATCCAAATATTTTAGGAGCTTCTAGAGCCAACAAAATTAAGTACAAATCCATTAATTTTCCACAATATAATTCCAATTGAACTTCTTTTCTATCTTACAGTAATTTCCCCCTATGCAACCGGAGATCCACCCAAGTAAGCCTGATCATTTTTCCCCCTTATCAGGCTCCATTATTTTTCCTACTTTGGTCATGCATTCTTATGCACTATGTATAAATTTATTTTCCCTTAAATATCAGCTCAATTGTCTCCTTTATTAAGTTGCTTTCCTGCTCCATCATCCCCAAACCCCAAAATCTCACACTACTTCTATTCTTTAGTACTTAGAGTGATATTCTTTGTATTATATTGTGTTGTTAGGTACAGTTGAGTCAATTCCAACTCACAGTGACCCTTTGGACAGCAGAGTAAAGCCCATCCCAGTCTCCTGCCATCCTCACAATCTCCACCATACTCAAGCCCACTGTTGTAGTCACTGTCAATTCATCTCACTGACTATCTTACTCTCTTTTTATAACTCCCTACTTTTCCAGCATAATGTTATAAAGGATAGAAAATTTTAGAGCTGAAAATGACCATATTGATGATATATGATCTAGCTATTTTGTTTTCTAGGTAAAAGAATTAAAAGTTTTAGGTGATTTAGCCAAAATCACATGACTGGGCAATGTCTAAGCAGTGCTCCAAATTTACCCACTGACTCTCAGTCTAGTTTTCTATCCGTTTTATTACAGCACGTGCTTGGGACACCTGAGTCGAAGCATCATCATCCTTGTCAACAATGCTCCCAAGTTTGATGTCATTACCAAGTTAGAGACAGAGTCCCTTGCAGTTTCTAAGTTTCCAGTTGTTCATTCTGGCTCAACGTCCTGCTGAGAATTCAACTTTCTACTTTAGATACACTGAACCAGCACCTACCAGGTTCCTAAGGTAGTCTTATAGATACTGAGTCAGAATCTGCATTTTCACAAACTCCTTAGGATACATGTATACTTAAGAATCACCTGGGAATCTCTAAGACTCACCCGGGGTTCTTGTTAAAATGTATAATCTCTTTCTATCTATCTGGAGTGGAAAGGTAAATTTTCAGCAGGGGCAGGGGAGGGGGAAGCTGAACTGGAAAGAAATGGTTCAAAGATCTGGCCACTAGTTTATGATTCCACCACTCACTGAAAAACTGGGAGAATACTCACGATGACCACCAACTTACCAGCCGAAAGAGGGAGATAGCATTTCCAGTGATGTTGTAATGGGTCAAAACCTCAGAATTAGTGCTGATTCCAAAGGCTACATCTTGGTATTTCTGCACCATGCTTTGAAATATAGACACTGCTGGTATTTCTAAGTCCTAAAAACAGTAGGGAAAAAAATAAAAATCACAGAGATTGTTTTGGAGGAGCAAGAGACACAGACGTAGGCACAAAAAAAGCAAACATCATTGCTGTCAAGTCATTTTTTATTAGTTGCAATTATCCTTGCTTTCAAACACTGTAAATATTAACAGGAATTGACTGTTTCATCTCACTTTCAAGGATAACTTAGTGGATTTGAACTATCAACTTATCAGTTAGTAGCCCAATGTTTTACAAGGAAGAGAAATTTACTCATTTACAGCAGACAGCATAGATTTGATTTAGAGTCTAGTAAAACTTTAGACAGATCAGAATACAGAAACTATCAAATAACATCACTAATGTCATATGCAAGCAAAATTTTACTAGAGATTATCCAAAAATGACTAGTACATTGACAGAGAAATTCCAGAAATACAGGTTGGGTTGAGAAGAAGCCATGGCTTTAGGGATATCTATTGCCAATATCAGATGGATCTTGGCAAAGCATACCAGAAGGATGTCTATTTGTGTTTTATTGACTATGAAAAGTCTTTTGACTGAGTAGATCACAAGAAATTATGGCTAACATAGAAAAGAATGGGAGTTCCCGAATACTTTATTGTACTTGATTGTGCTCATGTTAAACCTAAACTTAGAATGGGAAGCTGTTGTCCAAACAGAGCAAGGAAACACCACCTGGTTCAAAATCAAGAAAAGTGTACAACAGGGATGTATCCTTTCTCCATACCTTTTCAATGTATATGCAGAACAGACAGTCAGGAGACTGATTTTTATGAAGAAAAATGTGGCATCAGGATTGGAGAAAGACCCATTAATAACCTGTGTTATGCAGATGACACAGCCTTGCTCACTAAAAATGAGGGGCCTTGAAACATTTGTTGAAAAAGGCCAAGGATGGCAGTCTTCAATATGGATTGCACCTCAACATCAAGAAAACAATGATTCTCACCACTGGACTATATCATGTCCTGGAAAGGGTAAAACTAGTTTGCTCCTTGGAGGCAAGGATTTGGAAACTCTGTCTCACAAACTTTGGGCATGTTGCCAAGATGAACCAGTCATTTGAGAAGGCCATCATTCTTGGAAGGATAGAGGGTCAGTGAAGGAGAGGGAAACCCTGGATGAGACGGATTGACAAAGTGATTATGGCAGTGGGGTCAGATGTGTCAGAGATGGTGAGTGAGACTGTCTTAGGATAGAGTAACGTTTAGAGCTGTTGTTTATAGAGGTGTTATGAGTCAAGTTGTTATGATTCGAAGACACACAACAACAAAATTTACATTTAAAAATGGAATCTAAATTTACAGTGCCATTATTGAAGATCCAGACTATAGGGACGAATTGGCTGCTGCTAAGATTATCAGCAAACCTAGGCCTCCTACTTTCCTTTTTCATGGAATGTAAATTTACTGGTAGCTGAGAGGGACCTCACATTCAAGAGGCCTAGAGAAGAGGAGCGCATGGTCATTGATACGCCAAAGAAGGCAGAATTTTGTGGCTCATTTTTTTGACAACTAAAGAAATGCAAATAAGAAACAGGTGCTTTCAGAAAGAGTCATAAAAGAAAGAAGACAATTTAGAAGTGGAAGCTTAAAGTCTTATTAATAAGGGTTTGTTTGACCTGTACAGGAGCAGTTTTTTTCCTTTTACCATAAATATACTGCACTGGTTGCAGAAGATCAAGGAATGCAGCCTTCAATACCGATTGCATCTCAATGTGAGGAAAACAGAGATTCTACCACTGGACTGATAAGTAACATCATGATAGAGATGAGATTAAAACTGTCAACAACTTCATCTTACCCGGATCCACAATTAACACCTTTCCAGCAATCAGGTACCAACAATCAGGAAATAAAGAGATGCATTGCACTGGGAAAATCTGCAGTTAGAGACTTCTCCAAATTATGAAGGAATAATGAAGTTAATTTGAGGACTAAGGGTTAACTGATTCAGGTCATGGTCTTTCTGATCACTTGCTATGCATCCATGAGCTAGACAATGAATCAAGGATGACAGAAGAAGAATTGATGCCCTTGAACTGTGGTATTGGAGAAGAACACTGAATATCCCATGGACAGCCAAAAGAATAAACATTTATGTCTTGGAGAGGGTGCAGTCAGAGTGCTCTTTGAAGGCATGGATGATGAGGTTTTGCCTTGCATACTTCAGGCATTTTCCTCGGAGAAGGGCTATTTCTTGGAGAGAGACATGATGCTTGGAAGAATGGAAGGTCGGCAAAGGAGAGGAAGATCCTCAACCTGGTAGATTGACATGGTAACTGCTGCAATGGGCTCTATTATGTCAGGAAGTGTAGGGGATGGGACAGCATAGGATAGTGTTCAGATGTGCTGTTCTTACTTGACTTGACAATACCTAACAACAACACTATAAATAATATTATCTGAGATGTTTTCAATGAACATGACTATTTATGCATCACTGATTCAGTAGCCCAGGCCTGCAGAAGGCAAAAAGGAAGCCACTTCTGATGATGATTTCAGTTGTTATGTAACATCCTAGTATGATTGTCCCAACAGTAGCAGGACCTTTGTCCACAGTGCTAGGCATAAGCAAGCAGGGAGATATTCTTGCATCTCTCTGGGCTACAGGAGAAGATATACTAAGAGAAAAGAAGATGACTAGCCTGACATCAAGGTTGCTGCATGGGGAAAGCGGTTAGTGCACTTGGCTGCTTTTTATAAGCTTGATGATTCAAATCCACCCAGAGATGCTGCCAAGGAAAGACGCACTCTCTGTTTTGGAAAACCAGCTATTGAAACTCCTGTGGAGCATAGTTCTACTGTGACATGTGTGAGGTTGCCAGGAGTCAGAATTGACCCCTTGGCACCTGTTAAAAAAATCTTACATTCATTATGTCAGTCACAAAAAGACAGATACTGAAATCACTGTCATAAAAAGCTAAGGAAAGGTTTTTACAGAGAAAGAAACAATGTTTGATGGCTATTAGTTGTAAGAGCGGAGGGAGAAAGGAGGAGGGAGAGACGAGGAAAAGTTAACAAATAAATAACAGACATATAATAAGATAGTTGAAGTGAAAGCCAAAATATAATAAGGGGATGATCAACACACTATCACTAAATTCTGGGAAGACACAGAGAAGTGCACAGGTGGGGAGAGTTGGAGTTATATTGTGGGTTTTGTAGTTAATGTAGTAAAACGAAGTATTTCTTAATGGTGGAATGGAAAAGCAATTTGCTCTATAAAATTTCCTGCAAACCATAATAATAATAAAATCCAGGGAAAAAAAAATCTTGCATTCAAAGTCCAGCAGAGGGAATTGCTACCTTTCTTATGTAAAAGCAAAGAGAATGTGGAGTTCATTGGAGGTGAGGAACAATTGTTAATCTAGACTCCTTAGCTTTCTTCCCCCCCACCCCATTCCTTAAAATGGAATTGCTCTTAGATCAAATTAAGTTTCTGCCAAGGATGACTCCTATCCATCCTACTTTCTGGCCCCTCCTTGCTTTTGAGAAGGTGTTTGTTTTGTCTACAGCTCACTTCACTCATGGTTGGAGAATGTGCTTCTAGTCTTCCACCCCCACTCCCATCTCTTAGCTGCTTTTCCAGCTGTGTACACAGAACCCACGGGGTGGAGTAGGATGGTAAATGGGAATTAATACATGGAAGCAGGAAAGGGTTGCGGTGAAGGAATAGGGACTAGATCAGCTGACAGAAGAATTGCTAGATGCTACTGCTTGGTGGTAGAGAGATCTGGTGGTTTAATGGCAAGAAGCTGTGCTGTAATCCCAAAAGCATGCCGTTCGAATCCACCAGCTGCACTGTGTGAGAAGAATGGGCAATCTCCTCCCCTGTGATTAACTGCCTTTCAGAGGGTCAGCTATGGCTCCAACTCTATGGTAAACAACAATAACATCATATGGTGGTAAGTAAGGGGTTGCACTGCCAACTTGAAGGTTCAAACCTACCAGCTACTCTGAGGAAGAAAGATGAGAAATTTCTTTCCATACAATTTATAGCCTCTTTTTTAATTTTTTATTTTATTTTTTTATTTATAGCCTCTTAAAACCCATTTAGAGAATCAACTATGTGCCATTTCTGACTCAATGACAATGTGTGTGAGATTTTGACCAACAGAGAAAGCAGAATATAAGACAATTGTGCTCACACTTTACGGCTGCTCTCATTAGCCAGCACCCCAGTCTGGCAGATGGAGGAGAACACCTTTAATAGACAACATGCTATCTTTTCAACATGTCAGAGCAGAAAATGAGAAAAAGGCAGAGCCTTTTTGGGAAAAGACCATAGATAGAAGACTACTGGCTGCTTCTCAGAGGTTTCAGCCTACCATCAAAATGTTGTGCTCTGGTCCCTGCTTCAGATACAGTGTTAGTTAAACTTCAATATCCTTAGTTGAGGATACTCAAGCATCAGTCTCAGTGCTTTTGAAGAAAGTACAAAGACCACTTAATTCAGAAACTGAGAATGCCTTTAAATAGAAAGTATTCGTCTGGCAAATTGACAGCACATTTTGTGTTAATGTATCACTGACCAACTCCTTCCAATGTCACGCTGTCCAGTCAGCAAGTGGATTGTCAAGGTTCTCTAGGAATAGAACATTCTAGCTCTTTGAAAGACTAGCAATTGAGGCATCAGGACAAACCTGGAAGAAGCCTATGAGAGCCACCTCGGCAGCAGCGATGAATTCAGCAGCAGCTGAGACATCTGTGAGCAGCACAGGTTCGTGGGCAGCTCTGGGGCCATCTAGAGAAAGAAAGACCATGAGACACAAGCCCAAGGTATTGCAGTTCCAATCAGAAAAGAAACAAGTCTAAGCAATGAGACTTCAATACTTTCCTCCTTCATCCTAAGGGAAAGGCAGTCAGTTTCTTGGGGTGCTGATATCCTTCCAAGATTTCTGTTTTTAGAAGCATATGGAAGGTGACCCACCTATGGCCCAACTCTGGAGGATAATGGCAGATGACCTTCTTTATTTAACTAAACAACCTCAGTCTTTACTCAGCATTTCATGGAATATTTTCTAGATTTTTAGAAATAGTATCCAGAATACTGCCATCTTTCCCGCCCCCGCTCCCTCCTCCTAACCACACTCACCAAGTGGTCACTCAAGTAGTATTTTACCTGCTGTTTCCTGACCTTTGGCAGCCACTTCTGGAGGCAGCCCATGGGTGAGGAGAAATAGGAGAAACAGACATGTGGACTGGGATACTTCCATTGCTCTTCTCCTGCTTTTCCTTCAAACCCTGGACTTTGTGTTTGGGGCTCAGAACAATCCACTCTGCAGTCAGCGGACTGTGATATAATTAGCATTATGAGAACTTTGCAGCTGGTTCTAGGAGAACCTTCAACTTTTGAGATAAAAAACCAGTTCAATGACAAGGCCTCAAAATATAACCAACTATGTGAAAGTCCATTCAGTTCATTTAAATATCATGTGTCAAATATTGACCTCAGTACTATGGATATACAGATGGCTGTAATCTGATGCATTTCTTCCTAGCTGGGACATTTAGTGGGAGAGACAAATAAATGAACAGATCATGTAAGTGTGAAGTACAATGTAAATATAAAGTGAAAAGAATTGAGGAACTCATAGGGTGCTATGAGTTGTTGTTGTTGTTAGGTGCCATCGAGTCCTCTATGGCTCATAGGGACTCTGTAAACCACAGATTTGAACCGTACCCTATCCTGTGCCATCCTCATCATTTCTGATATACTGAAGCTTACTATTACAGTCAACACAGCAATCCGTCTCGGTGAGAGTCTCTTTCTTTTGCTAACTCTCCTCATTTCCAAGCATGATAATCATTTCCAAGGACTGACTTCTCCTAATAACATCCCCAAAATCAATGGGACAAAATTTTACTATCCTTGCCTCCAAGGAGCACCCTGATTGCACTTTCTTCAAGACATATTTGTTCGTTCTTTTGGCAGTCTGTGGGATATTCAATACTTTTCTCTAACACCACAACTCAAAATCATCCATTATTTTTCCGTTATTCTTATTTATTGTTCAACTTTCTGATGCATAACAAGTAATTGAAAAGACTCAGGTACACTTAGTCTTTAACTTGATATTGTTGCTCTTTAACACATTGGAGAGGTCCTTAACAGAGTAGATTTTCCCAATGGCACACATCTTTTGATTTCTTAACTGCTGGTACCAAAAGGGCTGATTGTAGAGCCAAGCAAGAGGAAATCATTAACCACTTCAATCTATCTTCTGTCTACTGTGCTCTTTCCTGTTGGCCCTGTGGTGAAGATTTTTGTACTGTTCTAGTCTTTTTTTTTTTATAATCTCCACCAATATTTTACTTGTGATATTAATGATCTTGTTCAATAATTTCTATATTCTGTTGAAGCACCTTTTTTGGACATGAGAATAAATATCTCTTCCAGTCAGCTGGCCAGGTAACTGTCCTCCAAATTTCCTGAGGTGCTATTTGAGCAATGATGTAAAGGGTTTGCTGCAGAAGATCAAGAACTACATATGGGTTACATCTCAACATCAAGAGATTCCTTACCATTGGGCCAATAGGCAACATCATGATAGATAATGAAAAGATTGAAATTGTCAACAAATGTCTTGGACAAGGTGTAACCAGAGTGTTCCTTTGAACCAAGAATAGTTAAGCTTCATCTAAGATTTTTCTGGGCACATTGTTAGAAGGGACTGGTCCTTGGAAAGGAACATTATTCTTGGAAAAGTGAAGAGCCAGCAAAGGAGAAGACGACCTTCAGTGAGATGGATTTATAATGTGACTGCCGCAATGGGCTCATGTGTATTGGGGATGGATGATAAGGACGACTTAGGACAGGATTCAGATCTGTTATTCATAGGGTCACTATACTATGAATTATACACGACTTGATGACTTGATGACACCCAACTACTAAATCATAGTTCCAAACTTGACCATTATGTTTGGTGGGAACCCAAGAACCAATCTCCCCTCCCATGATCAATCTTTTAAGCATTTAAGTTGAAGTAATGTATGTGTCACAGTCATGGTTTTTTTTCCCTAGTTAGCACTGCCTGCAACAGTGCTGAGAATCTTACAAATGAAATCAGTAGACATGATTTGGTGAAACTGTCATGTCATTGCTAATATTTTCTCTACTTCTGTAATTATATTTGTTCTGTTCATGCTTTTATAAAAAAGTCTCTAGAGAATATATTCAAATTTGAACTATTTGTTTCCCCTGGAACAAAGAAGAAACTTCTCCATGATAATAAGAAAAATACCAAAACAAAAAAATATTATATTTTCTATATTTTGCTGTATATGAAATGAGCTTTCATATTCTGATAGCTCGCTGCTCATTGCACTGCTCTTACTGACTTAGCTCCCTCTTGTCCTGTATTTCCTTCTCCCAGTCTCTCCAGGAGACTCATTAATGTGAACCATCTAGTTGCCATGTGTATTGGAAGGGAAATAAAACTCTCAGTCCGAGTAGACAGCTCTTGCTTTATTCTTGCTCTCCTGTGCTGTTTACAGCGTCTTGCAAAAAGAAGAGCCCCTATTGACAAGGGATGTCATTAGGGACCTTTCTTGAACCAGTGAAACCACAAAAGAGTGCAAGGATGCAGGGGTAGGAAAGAGCCACTGGAACCAAAGGCAAAAGTGGTGTTAGTAAGTTGGTCCATTTCTTGGCCTCAAGTTGCCCAAATGGAAAGAAATAAAAATGACCCATTTCCATTAAGCTGGCTTTAATTCACAGTGATCCTATAGACAGAGTAGCCTTAGAGGGCTCCCAAAGGAACGGCCACATCTTTCTCCTATGGAGTAGATGATGGATTCGAACCAGTGACCTATCAGTTAGCAGCCCAACACTTAATCCACAGAACCACTAGTGCTGCTTGGGAATAGAGGTGGGCTTAGCAAATGTATAGTGAAATGGAGGACTTTGAAGATCTGATCCCAGTGACGACCTGGAGGAAGTGGACAAGCAAGAGTTGAAGTTTGGTTTTGAACATCTTGTGCTGGCGACTAGGGCAAGGTGGGGTCAGATGCTTCAGTAGGAGAATGTAGGAGTTGGTGAAGAAGGGTCTAGCTGAGAAGTGTGAGGGAGGATGAGTGATACACATGACTGGTAAATTCCTTATAGGTGGCAAGGGGTGGAGAGAGGCGGATAGGTGGTCTCATTCTGTCCACTCCTTCTTAATGGACAGGTTCCATTCCCAGGTGAGGTGGTCATGCTTGTCATCATCGGTGAAGAAGGACTTGTTGTGGTAATTGCCTCGGGCCAGCATGCCCTTTGGAGCCTCTTCAGTCGGAGTCAGGAACTCATATTCCTCAGGCCGAGGCCCATAGCTGCCAACCATAAATGATGCTTTATCCACTAGGAAGAGAGAAGAGTTGTCATGCCAAGAGATTATTTATTTAGAAATAAACACACCAAATGGTAGATTTTGGAGTGCAGCTTATTTATATTAAAGGCCAGGGTGGTATTTTCAAGGCTGGATAACCATCAGACATTTCTGGAACACCTTTTGTTTTCAATCCTTTCTTTATAACAGTGCCTTTTAATACGTTTCCTTTTTTTCTATACCTAGATATTACAGTTCAGTAATCTTCAGTGGGTACTAAGAATTGACATTCTTTTTTTTTTTTTTTTTTAGAATTGACATTCTTAAAAAGCACTACAACAAATTTTGTGTACCAGAAAAATTGAAGAATCAGTGTTTTAAAAGGGGATTCAGATCCCTTTTATGGAGATGTAGCAGTATGAATGGTTAGTGCATTTGACTGCCAACCTTGAGGTTGGTAGTTTGGCACCAACCAACAATGTCTAGGAATAAAAGCCTGGTTATATTCTGGTATTTTTTTGTTGTTGTGTACTGTCAAGTTGGCACTGACCCTGAACCGTAGCTGACCCCCCAGTGAGTTTTCAAAGGCTCTTAATTTCATGAGAGGAAATTGCCTTTACCTCCACCCTCAGAGCAGCTGGTAGATTTAAGCAGCTGGTAGATTTGAACCACACACCTTTGCAGTTGAAGTGTGGTTGTTTCTTACTACTAGGCAACAGGAGTTCCTTTATAGTCTGGTAAGGGGGGAAAACAAGAAAATCCCATTGAAACCCTAAGAAGTATATTTCTATCTGATGCAAATGGGTTTGCAATTGGAATCGAGTCAAGGACAACTGCTTTAAAACAACAACAATCACAAAACAAAGAAACAAAAAGATTATCATAGACAGTATCATTAAAACAAAACTCAAATCACTTTAGATCATGATTCTGGGACTAATGTGAAAGAAGATTGCATGGTCTGATACACCAAGTAACATGTATGCTATTTTAATAAAAAAAATACAGTATCCTAAATAAAACCAAACCACTGCCATGGAATTTAGACCACTGTGTTCCAGAGTCTATAAATCTCATTGAGATGATTGGATTCATACCTCTGACCTTTCAGGTAGCAGCCCAATACTTTAGGCATCAAGCCACCAAAGACTCTTCGTCTCCTAATTTCTTGTTGACCTAATGGTAAGACGCTGCACTGCAATCCTAAAGGCACATGATTCAAATTCACCACCTGCTCCGTAAGAGAAGAATGGGCAAGCTCCTCTTGTGTGTTTTACTCCATCTGACCCGCTGAAGGGTCGGTTTGGCCTGGTTCTGATTTGATGGCATACAACAATGAGAAGTAAATTTGGTTGGGTACTTTTACCATGAGTCCCAATTCCTTATATTTTTTCCCCTTTTATTAATTTAGTGATCTCCTTCTTCCAGTCAATTATGTCCTCCATTAGTTCTGTCCATCCTGATTGTCAGCTTTACCTACATCTATTTAAATTTAAATTAAAAAGCTTTATAGAGAGAAGATCCTTAAAATTATTTATGCAGATACTGAGATTGAGAATAACTTTGGTTATATAATATAGATAGATGTATTCCATTCTAAACTGGTTCTGGATTTTTTTTTTGTTTAATTTGAAGAAAGCATTGTACACGTCATTATACTCTTGCCTAAGGAGACAGCATACTCTATGTTAAAATGAAAATAAGCTGATTTTTTTTTTTTCATGAGATTAGCTACTGGAAATGCCACTCAAGATCTTTGAGACCAACAACCTTCTCTGATGTTTGAGTGATTGAGTGACTTTTTATTTTATGTTGTACAAATATATTAATTCTTCCACTATCCCTTACTTCAATGAGATGGATCGATTCTGTGAGTGGTGTGGTGGGAATGAGTGTGTTTGAGACTGCAAGGTTGGCACAGGATAGAACGGCATTTAGGGCTATTGCACATAGGGTCCGCTATGAGTCACAAGCGACTTGATGGCACATAACAACAACAACAACAACATCCCTTACTTATTAATTTGGTAGAAGTCTACATACTACTGTTTTACAGCTTTGGGGAGGGTCTCAGGTGGAAATCGAGTGTGACAACCCTCCCATCTCCCTCCTTGCCCCCGGCCCCTAGTCCTGGCTTCCCATTCTCCGTGTCCTGTCAACGGGAGCAAACTGAAGGTGTGCACAGTGTAAGTGCTGCTTGTAGAGAACAGCTGCAGATGAAGTAATGCTATTCTATTTGTTTCCATTAGACACCCTTTCCCAATTCAAGGACAAATATTTTTGGATTTTCCCCCTTTGGTAAGAAATTGAGCTCTAGTCTCAACCCATCCTTTAACTCAGAATGTTAGGTCAGTCTTTCCTATCTTGGGTTTCTCTGACTATTAGGCTTGGGTTTTGTTTTTTAAAAAAATTTTTAAAATTGTATGTATTTACTATTAGGTTTTTTAACTCTTAAACTTTTGAAAAAAGTGTTTTTACATATTTACATTTATCTAGTCTACTCTTCCTTTTTCTGAGTAATCTAATTGATTTTCATATGCTGACTACCTAAGGTCGGGGTTGTTAATTAGGTCGTCTGACTGTTGTCCTTATATCTATCAATGTTTAGATCGGAGCTATGTGTCTGTCCATTCTTTTGGTGATAGTCCTAGACTTCAACCAGATTCTTATACGGGTTTGTTGTTGTGTACCGCAGAGTCATAACCGACACCCAGAGCTGACCCACGGGTGGTTTTTCAGAGGCAGTAATTGCACAAGAGGAGATTGCCTATCCTTCTCCTGTGGAGCAGCTGGTGGCCTCGAACCACGTGTCTTCTGGATTGCACTGCAGCTTCTTGCCAGTAGGCCCCTATTGTTAATTAGTTTGTAAGCAGAAGTATTATTAAAAATAGGACTTTGGGATAATGAAAGTATCAACTCCTTTACCTTTTACTCCAGTCCGGTAGGTATGCTGAACATATTTCAAGCCTGACACAATATCCCTGTTTACCTGTAGCAGAGAAGAATTGGAGAAAGCAGATCAAAAAACCTTACTGTAGCCCACTTAGTTTTAATAATAGGATACTATGATTTTTGTTATTTGGGGGAAGGGTTGGTAATCAATTAAAACCTTTTATCAAATACTTTTCAAAATCTTCTTTTTTGGTCTGGTCCTGACTCCCCTTCACCCCGTATGGACCAAGCAACAGTCCTACTCTTAGGAATGATTACAAAGGAGCCAATAGAAAATGTTATGCAAATATCTGAAAACCATAACCTGGGAAATGATTCACCTAGCATATGAAAAACAAACAAGGAGAAATGCCATAATGGAAAATCTAGGCTAGAAGAAGGTTCTGTCAGGTAATTGAGATTGGAGGTTCAGGGGGAAGAGATGGCCATGTGAAAACATCCTCTCATGCATAAATAATGGGTGAAATCCACTATGTCTGGAAAATACTGGCATGTCTGCCGTTTTTAGACGTTGTCTAAGATCCTGCCTCTTTCTCAATCCTTTGAGAGAAAATTCAGTAGAACAGAATGAAAAATATAGACATCCCAAACACTTTGTTTTTCCATGATTCATTTTACCTGGGTCTGAACTGGGTTCTCTGTTAATTTTATACAGTGGTCATGTCTATGTAAACAAATTAAAGTAGGAATTGCATAATTAGCTGGAGGACGTTGTTAAGTGTTCACCAATATGAAAAAGTCAGAAACTTTACCCAATAGTAACTATCCTTATCCTTTCTCACCCAGAATAATTATACCAGTCAATTAATGCTCTATTTTGTTTTGGAGACAGAGGAGGAACAGGGAAATGAGTACTGCCAGCTTTGATTCCAGATTGCTACTTAGTAAAATATATAATATAAACCCATCAATAGCAGACAGAATGAAAACAGGCTTATTGAGTAACTGAGGATAAAATGAAGATCAAACTTGAATTACTCTGACTCCCAGACGTAATTAATAAGAAAAATTAATGTTTCTTTCTAGAAATCTCTATGTTGGTCCCTTGGACCTAGTACATGAACCTGAGGGAGAGAAAAAGGGGGGGAACAGAACAAACCAAAACCCCAACAAACCAACAAACACACTATGAACAAGAATGGCAATGTGATGACAATTAGAACTACAAAGCCAACAACTTCTTATCTTTTTACTGCTCCATAGAGGGTTCCTTTAGTATGAACACACTGGGGATAAATCCTTTTAAAATTATGTATGTTGTTGTTGTTGTTATGTGATGTCGAGTTGCTTGCAACTCATAACGACCCTATGTACAACAGCCCTAAACCCTCCTCTATCCTGTGCCAATTGCACTGCCTCCGGCACACCCATCCCAATTACCCCAGTCACTGAATCATCTGCCTCATAGAGGGTCTTCCCCTCCTGCATTGTACCTCTACCCTCCCAAGCATGATGTCCCTCTCCAAGGACCAGTCTCTCCTCACAACATGTCCAAAGTATGTCAGACGAAGCCCCAGAATCCTTGCCTCCAAGGAACAGCCTGATTTAACCCTCTCAAGGATGAATCTGTTTGTTTTCTTGGCAATCCATGGTACATTCACTACTCTTCTCCAGCACCACAGCTCAAAGGCATCAATTCTCGTTCTGTCCTCCCTAGTCATTGTCCAACTCGGATGCATAACAAGTGATTGCAAAGACCATAGCCTGTATCAGATGCACCTTAGTCTCCAGAGTGACACCATTGTTCTTCAGTACCCTGGAGAGATCCCTAACAGCAGACTTTCCCATTGCAATACATTTTTTATTTCCTGGCTACTGGTGCCAAGAGTGTTGACCGTGGAGCCGAGCAGACCAAAGTTGTTAACAATCTCAATCTCTTCACCATCCATCCTGATGCTGCCAATTGGCCCACTGATGAGAATCTTTGTCTTCTTGACATTGAACTTCAATTCATACTGAAGGCTACAGTTCTTGACCCTCTGCAGCAAGCATTTCAGGTCCTTCTCAGTTTCGGCAAGCAGGGTTGTGTCATCTGCATAACGCAGATTGTTAATAGATCTTCCACCAATCCTGATGCCACACTTCTCCTCATAGAACCCAACCTCTCGGATAATCTGCTCTGCATACAGGTTGAAAAGGTATGGAGATAGGACACATCCCTGGCATACGTCTTTCCCAATTTTGAACCATGCAGTGTTTCCTTGCTCTGTTCTGACGATTACCTCTTGGTCCAAGTATAGGTTTCGCATTAGCACGATCAAGTGTACACTTATAATATCACAAGCTTCTCTCTGAGGATTTCTCACTTGAGAAAGAAGAAACCTTCAAATATACTCAAAGATGTGAAAAGAATTGAGGAAATCAGAGAGGAGAAGGAAAAGGGAAAGGAAATTAAGTAACCATCGCAGGCCACTTTGTTAGATGCTGCTGTTGTTGTTAGGGGACTTTGAATTGACTGCAATTCATAGTGATCCTAGAAACAACAGATCTGAATGAACCTTGTCCTATCTTGTGTCATCTTCACGATCTCTGATATTTTCAAGCGATTTGTTACAATCACTGTGCCAATTCATCTTGTTAAGAATCTAATCTTTCTCTCTTTTCCTGCAACTCTTTTTTTCCCAGCATGATAGTTTTTCCCCCAAGGATTTGTCTCTGCTGACAACGTGCCTGAAGTATGTGAGATGAAGTTTTACCATCTTTACTGTTAATGAGCACCATGGTTGTGCTTCCTCCAAGACAGACTTGTTCATTCTTTTGGAATTACATGGGATACTCAATACTCCTTTCACTGGGTTTTGAGGGCTATAAATCTTTCTGGAAGAAGATCGCTCATCTTTCTCCCCAGAGTAGCTGGTGAATTTGAAATGCTGACCTTTTGGTTAGTGGCACAACATGTAATATATTATGCCATCAAAGCTCCTTTCTCCTATTAGAAATAAACCCCAGATCTCTGAAGTGGACTGGATTTAAAAGCCTCTCTCTGCTTTCGTTCCCAATACATGAATGTGTAACCTTGATATTTTGGTAACATGATCACACACTACAGCTTTCCTTTCAGCCTTCCTTCTCATCAAAGAAATCCATGGTCCATATTTTTCCTTTTGTTCTTATTAATATTCCAAATTACCTCTAATTCTTCACTTGATACAAATGATTTGCTAAGTCGGCAAATTAATGTAGTAGCGTTCATAAATCAATAGCTGGCTTGATAAGTAACCCACGCTAGACATATTTGGATGTCTTACTAAACCCCAAGGTGCTTCAGTAATAAATGGTATGACAGAAAAATAAGTCAATGGGCCACATACAATGCCTAATACAGGACATGTTGTTGTTGTTATGTACACTTGATCCAACTCCAACTCATCGCTAGCTACCTACCCTACATACGACATAACGATACTCTATCTGATCTTGTACCATCCTCGCAATCTCTGCTGTGCTTATGTCCATTGTTGTAACTACTGTGTCAGTCAAATTTATTGAGGGCCTTCTTACTTTTCTTGGGCCCTCCACCTTTCCAAGAATAATGACTTTCTGCAAGGGCTTTGTCCCTTCTGACAACATGCATTAAACACGAGAGAGAATACCTCACTACCCATGCTTGTAAGGCACATTCTGGCTGCACTTGCTCCAAAACAGATTTGTGTGTTTGGCAGTCCATGGACAATTTGATATTCTTCACAAATAGCATGATTCAAAGGACCGCATGGCTCAGAGTCAACAGATTGTTCCTGAATGACATTATTCTGAGGCATATTTCTATGTGTTGGGAAATAATCACTTATGAATACTATCTATCTTATTCCCAGGGGAAGGAAGGGCCAGTGCATGAATTAAAAAGGCAGATGAATTTCTTGCTATAGCTAAGGTTCTGGAGAGGATGGCTAAATGGAAGTGAAGGATAACTAAGGCTAAAAACAAGGAATTAAATCCACAGTTAATGGTTAACTCCCTCCACCCCAAGCCAAGGTCTTTTTCCTCTGTAACTTTGGTTGCTCACTGTTGTTGTTGTTGTTATGTGCCGTCGAGTCACCTGCGACTCATAGCGACCCTATGTACAACAGCCCTAAACTCCGCTCTGTCCTGTGCCAATCGCACTGTCTCTGACACTCCCATCCCAATTATCCCAGTCACTGAATCAATCTACCTCATAGAGGGCCTCTCCTGCGCTGTCCCTCCGCCCTCCCAAGCATGATGTCCCTCTCTCAGGACCGGTCTCTCCTCACAACATGTCCAAAGTATGTTAGACGGAGCCTCAGAATCCTTGCCTCCAAGGAGCCACCCAGTTGAACCCTTTCCAGGACAAATCTGTTTGTTTTCCTAGCAGTCCATGGTATTCTCAAAACTCTTCTCCAGCTCCACACCTCAAAGGCATCAATTCTCCTTCTATCCTCCTTGGTCATTGTCCAACTCTCTGATGCAAAGCAAGTGATTGCTAAGACCATAGCCTGTATCAGACACACCTTAGTCTCCAGGGAGACACCATTGCTCTTCAGCACTTTGGAGAGGTCCCTAACAGCAGACTTTCCCATGGCAATGCGCCTTTTAATTTCCTGGCTGCTGGTGCCAAGACAGTTGACTATGGAGCCAAGCAAACTAAAGCTGTGTACATTGCTCATTAGTTACCAGTTAATTTCCTATCTAGTTTTGCTTTGACCTGGTCACTTGCTCTAAAACTGTGACTGTCATTTATAGAGTCCCTGCCTTTGTATAATCCATAAAAATTAGCACTAAGGCCTTGTCTTTTCTATTTGCAATTAATTTTCTCATTCATTTGTGCATTTTTTTAACATACTACCACTAAGTGTCTTCTATTTTCAAGGTTTGTCTGAAATAGTGGAAAGAAGGGATTATATAATCTCTATCTCAAGGACTGTAGACTGTACAAGGGAGAAGTGACACATACTCTACAATTTTAGGAGTAAGAGAAATGTGCAGAGAGAGGGATCTCATTGGCTTGAGTGATCCATGTAGAGGTCAAGGAGAGGGTTGTATCTGGGACAAGAACAAGGTGATTGTACAGTAACAGGTGGGTCTCAGTGATCAGAAGTAAGGGGAGGGGGTGTGAGATAAAATACTAAAATATGGTAATATATATTTAGCCCGTGATTAAAGGAACAAATTATCCATTAAAAATAAAACTATAGGCAAGATACTTACTTTGAAGTGAATTTTGACTCTGTATTCAGCACCTTCTTTCAAGACAAAGGTTTCCTTTTTGAGAGCTTCAAGATCCCCTGTAAAAGTGGAATGAGAATTTATTTTCCTCAGAAGCAAATACACAGGGAGACTCACGAAATAAGCTCTAAACACCCTTCACTGAGCCCAGCTGGGCAACATGGTCCATGGAAACCTCAATTCAGAGTATCTGAGATTAGTCCTTGAACACATGCAAAACCAAAATTCCTCAATCTGAAATCTTCCTTACAGTTCTCATATTAAAGAAAGGCAATTGTTTGTTGTGATTGTATTTGTTTGTTTGTTTTTAATTTCATGGCATTACTAAAAAATACAGAACATTATCTGTAATAAGTTAGGAAGATGAAAGAATAATTTGTAATTGTCAATTAAGAAAAAAGAGTAAAATGCTAAAAAGTAAATTGTCAACCATGCTATAGAAAAATCTGGATTATCTATTTTCTTTATCTAAAATGGCATTACATGTGGTCAAGCAAGGAAGTTATCCAAGAACTTGCTGTCCCCTCCCTTCAAAAAAGAAATAGAAAAAAAAGTATAGAAGTGTTAGACGTTTATTTTTGTGGATTTAGTGATACATTTGGCCTATTCTGGCTTTAAAAAAATTATACCTGATTCCTTTTATTACTATTAAAAATCACTTTTGTACTTAGTTTTAAAATTTTTGTTTATTAGTATTAATTATATAAAGATCAAAACCAAATTATAAAAAGACCAAGACTTCAGACTCCATAAAACACAGATCTACCCCTAATTCTTGTACAGTTTAGACTCTGTTTAGCTACCGTTCTCCGGTTTGCTCTCAATGTGAGCCTGTGTAATTTGCATTCTGCGGTTTTCTGCATGTGTGTGTGTATGTGTTGAACAGTTATAGGTATGTAGAATTTTCTTTGAAGTAATTTTTATTCTAATTAAACTTCTTTCAACACAAAGATTTCTCTTTTTTAGGGATTCAAGATCCTCATACACACAGCTGCAATCAGCATATATATCTCTGATATTTCATCACTTACTTTTTTATAATGAGAAATCAAATTTGACTTCCTCTGTTGGGACCAGTGGCAGAGACTAAGTTTTCTTTACAATACCATCAATCCCTTTGAAAAAAAACCAAACAGGGCTTCCTCCATGCAAATTCAGGCCTTATCTTAAAAATTGACAGTTACCTCTGGTACTATTACATAATTTTGCACAGAAGAAAATAGCTGAGTCCTGTTAAGTGAGAGTTTCTGTCCTGCCATGTGAGTTGAGTAAATTTGTGTGCTGTGTCTACACTGAAGATTTCAGTTGAGCAGGAAGTGTGTCTTCTCAGTTTCTGATTTCCTCCCAGTGACAAAAAGCCCATATAAGGTAAGAAGTGGATGTGCTCAGTAAAATGGGAACTACCTCACTGCTAAGCTAACTTTCAGAATCTTCTTTTGCTCTATCTCACAAAAGTCCAGTGAATAGGTAAAAAACTATTTTTCTCTACAGTAACTAAGCAGAATTAAAAAGAAGTTGATCTTGCTTTTAAAGTTCTCCAATCTCCTTGTTCTGTCTCCCATTTTTCCTATTTCCTCCATAATTTCTATCTTCCCCAATTTGTTTCCACCTCCTTGAGATCTATGACTCAGGAATGAATTTGAACCTTAGTAACAATAAAGTGTAAGTGTGTAATAACACCCTAATTTTTTACACTTTCTAATGGGGAGATTCTTATATAAGAAGTAGAACTTTAGGTAAAAAAATAAAATAAAAACCAAGATATAGCAGTGGAAGTTCCAGTATTTTTCAGGAGGCCTTAGACTATACCATACTTTTGGCTAAGCTCTGTGGCTAATGTAAGAACAATACTTAGTTATATAAATATTAGCATTCTAGAAGCATACTCTTAATATTATCTCCATCAGTTACTTTTTTATGTAAATAGAAATTCTCCTATTTTATTGAATATAAAAATTCAGCAATATATACCATACAAATAAATATATCAACTGGTTAGCCCCTGTGCTCTCTTCAATTAAGTACAGACATGGAAGTGGAATTCTTCATTAAGTATAGTGAAATACTCTATACTCTGACGGGAAATGATTTGTGAACTGGTACCAGTTCACATACTTTGGGGATTCCCCATACTAGGGTTTCCGTCTGCTGTGACAGGGCATAGGACCAAGTCTTCACTGCAATATCATCAGGCCCCTCTGAACAGATTAGAGGTGTCCACTTACCAGTAAGGTCCATGGTGATTGGCCCTGGGGCACTATCACACACGAGGGTCAGCCGGGTGACCGTAACATTGGGGGCTGATGGATCTGCGGGGTTCAAAAAAGAATGTAAGCAAAGGTTGTAAATATGTGTGTGTATCTCTCTGCATCAGGAAGTAGAGGGGGAAGAAAAGAAAGCTACTCGCTCTACCTGAAGTAAAAGCAGAAATGTTGCTGCTCTTGTGTGCTGTCAAGTCAGTTTTGACTTACAGCAATCTTTTTAAGGCAAAGGGTCACCAATACTTAAATCTTTATGAAAGCAGACTGTCTCCCTAAAGTGACTGGTGTATTGGTTCATTGTCAAATGCTTGACCATTTGTGTCACCTGTGCCTTTTTTGAGACAGAAATAGACACGATATTCTATTTGGTCATGATAATCTCATAAATTACAGAGTTGCTATTTGGTCTCGGGTCCTTGTCTATCCATCTAAGTTTCCAACAGCATGCATTCCCTAAGTGGCTGTGGTGAGACAATCCACCTGTTTTGACAGATGCTGCCAGTCGAGCTCTAACTCACAGTGGCCTTACAACAAAGGACAACCTGCCTATCTTGTATCAATCTCACAACCTCTGCTGTGCTTAACCCCACTGCTGCAGTCACTGTGCCACTTTGTCTCCTCAAGAGTCTTCCTCTCCTTCAATGCTCCTCTTCTCTAACAGTGTCATCCTCCACCACTATATGTGCCCTTATTCTGTTGTTACTCATAGGGTTTTCCAGGAATTGTTCTTTCAGAAGTGCATGGCCAGTCCTGCTTTTTAATCTGTTTTATTTTGGAAGCTTAAATAGGATCTGTTCACCTCGAGTGACCCTGCTTGTATGCAAAATACCTGTGGCTTAACTTTCAGCATCAAAACAACATACAAGCTACCACAGGATCACAAATTGGCAATCGAGTGGTGGAGTCATTCTGCTGGATGAGGGTAATCTAGCCATATGTAGAGACCATTGTGTATATGGAGGAACTGAAGAGTCAGTGAAGGAGCAGGAAGAGAGAGAATGTAAGTGATATTGGAGAGAGGGGACAATAGTGATAAATGCCAGCCAGAATTCCTTCTAAATTCTCTCCAAGTGCAGTTTTAGGAGCCCCTGAGTCTACTATGACTCATAGTGACCCTATGAACAAGAGATCTGAACTTTGTCCTGTCACGGACGATCGTCGTGAGCTCTGCAACACTCAAACCCATTGCTACAGTCACTGTGTCAATTCATGTCACTGAGGGTTGTGATGGATCAGCTTTACCTCCACCTTCCTATCATGATGTCTTGCCCAAAGACTGGTCCTTCCTGACAGCAGGCCCAAAGTGTGTGAGACAAGGTCTCACCGCCTTTGCCATGTCTTATGGTGACTGATTTCAAGCTAACCTATATCCTATTAGAAGGAGACTTAACTAAACTTTTTGAAGCTTTATTCAGCATATGTGGATGGTATCTCTTTACTTAGCACTGGAGAAGTTGGTACCCTTTCCTATGTAGCCATTCCCCAAGTAACTGATGTCTACACTTCCTCCAGGGCCCTTTACTTTTTTTTTCTCTTTCTCTCCTCCCCTCCCCCCACCTACACACACACACACACACACACACACACACACACACACACACACACGTACATACCTGCTACCACAGGGCCATCCCCCAAGAGTGTTTTTTTGTACTTGGCTAGGCTTTCATCATCTTTGTCCATCTCTTGTAGCTCCTGCAGGGACTTCTGTGGTGGAGGCTTGTAATTAAGTTTGCTGTCCAGCTCATCATCATCCTCCAAATGTGGTTCTGGGGCCTTTTCAGTCATTTTGCTCTAGTTCAGACAGAGAAGTAGGCAGACCATTAGCCAAAAGTCGTTGGACGTGCAAGATGCTTGTGGAATTGCCACTAACACTGTCCTTACTCTAATGATGTGTCTGGATCTTCTGAACGTTGTTGTTATATGGTGTCTAGTCAGAACAGATTCATAGATGACCCTTTAGAAGGTTTTCAGAGACTGTAAATCACATGGGAGAAGACTGATCATCTTTCTCCTGTAGAGCAGCTGGTGGATTTGAACCACCTGCTTTTGGCTTGGCTCTGACTCTTTACCACCAGGTCATCAAAGCTCAGAACCTTAGAGGTAATATATTCCATTCCCTCATGTTATCACTGAGAAAATGAAGACCTAGAGGGTATGGGAAGCCACTTCTCTTGGGAGAAGCTCAGCCAGTGGAGATATTTGGGGAAGAAAGGAAGTTAGTTGGGTAAAGAGATCCTCTCATTCCATCCCCAGTGTAAATCTTTTCCTTACTATGAGTAAAGCCTTCCCTGCTTCTAAGTAACACAACTATCAGGCAATATCTATCACATGTGACCCAAGTAACTCTATAAGCCTCTGTAAAGTATTCTGTGAGGGAGATGATCTCTGGGCAGGATAAAGTCATAATTTTGTTTCAGTATCACTACCAACTGCAAGAGAAATAATTGGGGAAAAAGTCAAACAAAAGCAACTTTAACAGAATAACAAATTTTAAAAGATATCACTTGGCTTCTCAATCATCTTCTAGCTAAATAGTGAACCAAATACTATGAACCTTGCCCAACTCTGAAAACAGCATTGCAGTGCTTGGGTCCACTTCCTGTACAGAAAGGAAACCTGGAGGGTTGTTTCTATGGCAACTCTAGCCTCAGCAGAAGAACCTCTGCTACTCAACGCTGAGACTCTAGAGAAAAATAGCACTGAGACTTCTCCAATACACACATTCCAAACACCTCTAGGCCAAGTGAAGGAACTGAGTGGAAGATAATAAAGGTTGCACTGAGTGAATGCTGTAAGTTGTGGGTAGTTTAAGGACAACAACTAAGGGGGAGGTTAACAGAAAACCAGATGAGATCAATCAGGTGAGTCAGGTTCTCTTATCTGGTGATGTCCAGGATCCTGACCTAAAGTGGAGATCACATGATAAATATGGAGACAAAACTCCAGGAAACCTATCTACTGATAAGGGCTTCAAACACACCCTCCACTGCCCCATTCACAGGTCTTTCTGGAATTTATCACTTGATACTAAAATGTCACCTGCTTGAAACCTGATGACCATAAGATGATATTACATTCAGTCATTAAGTCAAAGTTTCTGTATCATATAATCTCAATTTTGGAGATACAGAGAGAGGGAGGAGGAGGAGATAGAAAGAGAAAGAAGAGAGAGAGAGAAAAAGAAAAAGAGAGAGATCTACTTAGTCTAGGACAAGACTTGCCTGTGTGACCATTGTCAAGTCTGTTATATAAGCCAAGGTCTTCTCATTGACAAATTGGAAGATTTATGTAAATTCTAAACCTCCTTGATTCACTGCCCACAGACACAATGAAACTCACACTTGTTAAAAGCCATTAATGAGCAGAAGATAATGTGTGATTACCACTTGAAACGGTTTCAGTCAATAGGAGGACCTTAATGACTACATTGAAATTTATCTGATTTATTACTGGTATAGGAAGAAGTGAAACCTGGTCCAATAACGCAATCCCAGTGCACTGTGAAAAAAATTATTAAGGACAAGGTGAAAATTCTAATCATATATCAAATTCTGAAGCAAATAAGATCTAGAAAAGCTATCCTTGGGGAAAGATCAGCCCTGGTAGCATAGTCTGTAGAGAGTTGCTCTGCTCATCTAAAGGCTGTATTTATAGTGAATCCTCTGGAGTGAGATGAGCGCTTTCTTTGCTCCGTCATGATTTATACCTTTAGAAACTCAATGGAGAGTCAGAGGGTCACTGTACATCGGTGGTTCTAACTCTCTGACTATGAGAAAGGAGAGTGGTCATAAAATATTTGTAGCACTTAAAATGTACAAAACAAGGTCCTGGTATTTAAATGAATCTTCAGAGTAGAAAAGGGGCTG